AAAGCAATGCATTTGTTAAACCTTTTTATTATTTTTTTTAAATTTCAGGAGTAGAATTTACTGATTCATCACTTACACATAACAACACCCAGTGCTCATCCCAAGTCCTCTCCTTAATGCCCATTACCTATTTAGTCCATCCCCACACACAATACCCCTCCAGCAAGTCTGTTTCTTCTCTGTATTCAAGAGTCTTATGGTATGCCTCCATCTCTGTTTTTATCTACAGCTTTGAAGACCAGAGTTGTGACATTTCCAGGTTTGCTTTTTTTTTTTTTTTTTCCAAGATTGCTTTGGCTATTCAAAGCTTTTTGTGGTTTCATACAAATTTTAGGATTGTTTGTTCTAGTTGTATGAAAAATGCTGGTTTCTGTTTAAATACAGATTGCAATAAATGGATTGCTTTGTGTAGTACAGACATTTCAACAATATTTGTTCTTCCAATCCATAAGCATGGGATGTTTTCCCATTTCTTTGTCTAATCTTCAATTTCTTTCCTAGGTGTTTTATAGTGTATAGAGTAAAAATTTTTATGTCTTTGATTAGGTTGATCCTAGGTATCTTATGGGTTTTAGTGCAATTATAAATGGGATTGATTCTTTGTTTTCTCTTTCTCCTGCTTCATTATTGGCATATAGAATTGCAACAGATTTATGTACGTTGATTTTGTATCCTTCGATTTTACTTAATTTGTGTATCACTTCTAGCAAGCTTTTGATGGAGCCTTTTCAGTCTTCCCAATACAGTATCACTTCATTTGTACATAATGAAAGTTTTACGTTTTACTGCCAATTTGAATGCCTTTTATTTTGTTTTCTGATTGCTGTGGCTAGGACTTCGAGTAGTATATTAAAAAACAGTGGTGAGAGTGGATATTCTGTCTTATTCCTCATTGTAGAGAAGTTATTTTCAGTTTTTCCCTATTGAGGATGTTAATAGCTTTGGGTTTTTCATATATGGCCTTTATCATGTTGAGGTATGTTCCCTCTAACCCAACTTTGTTGAGAGTTTTTATCATAAAAAGATATTGTATTTTGTGATATGTTTTTTTCTTCATCTACTGAAATGATGATATCATTCTTATCCTTTTTTTTTATTAATGTGGTATATAAAGTTGAATGATTTGTGAATATTGAACCATCCTTACAACGCAGGGATAAATCCCACTCTATCACGGTGTATTTTCTTTTTAACGTGCTGCTGAACTTAGTTAGCTACTATTTTGTTGAGAAATTTTACATCTATATTCATCAATGCTATTGTCCGGTTTTCTTTTTTTCTCGTAGTATCTTTACAGGAGTTTAATACTGGGGCAATACAGTCTTCATGAAATGAGTTTGAGAATATTTCCTCCTCCTCAATTTTTGTAAGAGTCTAAGAAGGATAGGCATTAATTTTCTTCAAATGTTTTGTATATTCAAACTGAAACTATCTGATTGGGATTTTTCCTGTTGGGAGATTTTTGATTAATTATTTCAGTCTCTTTACACATTATTATTGGCACTTTCAGGCTTTCTTTTTCTTCGTGATTCAGTTTTGGTAAGATATGTGTATCTAGGAATTTTCTGTTTCCTTTAGGTATTCCAGTTTGTTGGCTTATAAATTTTCATAGTATCCTCATGATCCTTTTTATTTCTGTGGCATTGCTTGTAATGTCCCCTCCTTCTTTTGTTTCATTTATTTGAGACTTCTTTTTTTCTTTTTATTAGTCTAGCTAAAGGTTTGCCAGTTGTATAATTTCAAAAACCCATCTCTCAGTTCTTGATCTTTTCTACTGTTTTCTGGTCTCTATTTCGTTTATTTCTGCTTTGATCTTTATTATTTCCTCCCTTCTACTCTGGGGCCTTTTTTTCTTTTTTCTAGCTCTTTGAGGTATAAGATTGAGTTATTAAAGATATTTTATTTTCTTAATGTAGGCAATTTTTTCTATAAACTTTCCTCTTAGACCTGCTTTTACTGCAACTCATAAAGCTTTTTTTTTTTAAGTTTATTTAGAGAGAGACAGAGAGAGCACAAGCAGAAGAGAGAGAGAGAGAGACAGAGAGAGAGAGAGAGAGAGAGAGAGAGAGAATCCCAAGCAGGCTCTGCATTGTCAGTGCAGAGCCAAATGTGGGGCTCAAACTCATGAACGGTGAGATCATGACCTAAGTCAAAATCCAAGAGTTGGATGCTCAACCAACTGAGCCATCCAGGTGACCCAAGTTGTGGTATGTTTTATTTCCCTTTTTTTTTTTTTTTTTACCATTTGATATTTTGTTTGACTCATTGGTTGTTCAGGAATTATATTGTTTCGTTATTTGATTTTTTTTCTGACAAGAAATCTTATGTTATTCTTATATTTTTTTCACTATAAGTAACATGTCTTTTTTAAATCTGTTTGCTTTCAACATTTTCTCTGCCTTAGATTTTGAGAAATTTGGTTTGATGTGCTTGATATACATATATTTTTTTTCTTGTATTTGGACTTTATTGAGCTTGTTGGGTCTGTTTATGGTTTCTGCAAAATTTGGAAATTTTGGAAGTATTATTCCCTCACATATTTTTCCTTCCTTTATTTATTTCTGGGATAATGGTTGCAATTGTGTATATTGCTGCTTGAAATTTTCTCACAGCTCACTGATGCTCTGTTCTTTTACTTGTTTTACACTGTTTCTTTTTTACAGTATCTATTGTGTCTTATTCAATCCTTTTACCTGCCATATCAAATTTTCTGTTAATCCCATTCAATTTTTTTTGGTCTCACATTTTAGTTTTTATCTCTAGAAATTTGATTTGTGGTTTTTTGTATCTTCTCTGTCTCTACTTTTTAACTTATGGACTGGAGTTATAATGACCATTAGGACCATAAGGATGTTAGTCCTTATCTGCTAATTCTAACCTATGTATCAATTGTGGGTCAATTTTAATTGATTGATTGATTGTTTTTTTTCTCATTATATGTTATTTTTCTTCTGTATACCTGACAATTTTTTTGTAATAAGCCAGACAACGTGAATTTTACCTGTGTGCTGGACACTTTTGAATTTTTATACATATTCTTGAGCTTTATTCTGGGGCACAATTAAATTAGGTGAAACAAAATGACACTTTGGGTTCTCCCTTTTAAGATTTTTTAGGGACACCTGGGTAGCTTAGTTGGTTAAGCATTTGACTTCAGCTCAGGTCATGATCTCATGATCCATGGGTTCGAGCCCGCTTCAAGCTGAAAAGACTAGCCCACATCAGGCTATGCTGACAGCTCAGAGCCTGGAGCCTTTTTCAGATTCTGTGTCTCCCTCTCTCTCTCTGCCCCTCCTTCACTCGTGTTCTGTCTCTCTCTCCTTCAAAAATTAAACATTAAACAATAAATTAATAAAAATAAGATTTTTTAGGCAGGATCAGAGCAATGTTTAGGGCTACACACTACTCAGGCCGTTTGCCTCCTGGTATTCCATGAATTATGAGATTTTTCAGGCTGGCTTGTGGAAATAGGCAATATTTTATGTCCATCCTGAGTGAGTTCTGATTTCCTTCTAACACTGAATATTTTAGGGAGATATTCTACAAGTCTCTGTAATCTTCTCTCTGCTCCTCTCACCACTCTATAGTCAGTCCTGCTAATCTGTCTGCCTTGATCTCCCCTGACTCTCACTTCTGTCTCATCAACTCAAGGAATCTGCCAGGCTCTGTCTGAGTTTCCTTTACCTACACAACAGTCTGAAAACTCTCAAGGTGGTAAGTTTGGGCAATCAAAGGGCTTGTTTGATTTATCCCAGTCTCTTGGGAGTCACTTTCCTTCGTTGCCTAACATCTGATCTCTAGAAAACTGTTGTTTCCTATATTTTATCTATCTATCTATCTATCTATCTATCTATCATCTATCTATCATCTATCTATCTATCTATCTATCTATCTATCTATCATCTACTTATTCATTTAGTGGTGGAAGAGGATATTGTTTCAAGCAGGTGGGTGAATCCAGTCTCTGGTATTCTATTTTGGCCAGAGGTAGAAGTCCTTGGACTATTGAACTTTTATCATTTTTATGACTATCATTTAGGTCTGTTTTATTGAAGTAATTCACTGTTATTTTCCTTTCTAAATTATTTTCCCATTCATTTTTGCATATTCATCGTTTATCCAATATATTTTGATTGGCTGTTTTACTCTCCTACATACATTCATTATTCTTCAAATTCTGATGTAACTACTTCGAGTCTTTAGTTTCACTACTTTTGCTATTGATGACTGTTTCTATTTCATATGATGCTTATTAAGGAGTTTCACTACTTATGCTATTGATGACTGTTTCTGTTTCATATGATGCTTATTAAGGAGAATTTACTTCTCCTTTTCCTAAAACATGTTTGGTAGAGATAGTTTTTATTTAAAATTGTGTTTTATTATCAGGTTATAGTATATTTACAACTTGTTATTGTAACAGAGATAAAGTAAACATATTCACACTTACTCTGTGAGAAACAGAATATTCTAACAACTAGAATGCTAACCATCAGTTGCTAGCCTTGAATTTATGTTTTGCTTTCTTTAGTATTTTACACATAAACGGCCAATTATTGAGAGTCTTAGCAACACGGGGTTCTCCCTTCTATATTGTACATTTCTACACATACCTTTATACTTTGGAGCCCAGCTTACCAGCAAAGATCAATAGCTCTTTTCTCCTCTTGATCATTTTGCATATTCTAGGATAACTCCTGTTACTTTATATTTTCTTCCTCTCCCAATAACCACATTCCAGCTCCACAGATTTTGTGTCCTTTGATTTAGAAATGATAAATAATGGCTTACTATATATTGAAAAATCTGTTTGAAGATTCTGACAGTTAACTGTGCAGAGTATAGGTTTCATTTTCCCTGAGTATAGGTCAAACAAAACTGATCACAAAGCTACTAATGCATTTATATTTTGAGAAAATATGAAATAATATATTTTACTAAAACTTTTACTGCTATATAGTTTCATATATGTGTGTATATATTTTTTCATTTTAATTTAGGATTTACTCTCCCATATGCTACATATGGACCCACATCAGCGGTACACTACAGAACAAGTATTAAAACACTCGTGGATAACCCACAGAAATCAATTGCTGAATGATCAGCCAAATAGAAATGATACATCACATGTCATTAAGGTAAAACAAACATTTTTTATGTATGTCCTAAATGCTTGATAAATTCATTGCATGCCATTCACTGATAACACATATAATTACCTTAAATAACTTTATTTTAAAAAAAATGTATTTATAGATTTTTTGCTTTTGTTTTTGTTTTAAATAACAATTGTGGATTTGTGGATTCTTGTTAATCTTCTTTACCTATTCCTTTTCTGATGATAAATAGAAATTCCTTAATTGTATTTAACTTGCTCTTCAGACACTGGGGCTAAGAGTGTAGGTTTCATGTGGAAAGAAAAATTGGTTCCTAAATAACCGTTAGTGCAAATTCCCATATTTATAGACATCGAATCTAGATGTAAAATTTAGTGTTTTATGCATTCACCTGTTGATGGATACTTAGGTTACTTCCATGTCTTGGCTACTGTGAATAATGCTGCACTGAAGATGGGAGCACAGAGATCTTTTTGAAGATAAATAAATTGTGGTGTACATATATATAGTGGAATACTATTCAGCTTTAAAAATGAGATCCTGTCATTTGCACAACATGGATGAAACTGGATGACATTATGCTAATGAAATAAGCCACAGAAATATATATATATAAAATCTCTCTTATATGTGGAATCTAAAACAGTTACATATATAAAAGCAGAGAGTAGAAAAGTGGTTACCAGGGGCAGGGGAGAGGGTAAAATGGAGAGATGTTGGTCAAAGTACAAAGTTACATTTATGTAGGATGAATAAGTCTAGATATCTAATGTATAGCATGATGACTATAGTTAATAATACTGTATTAAATATTGGAGGGGCACCTAGGTGGCTCAGTTGTTTAAGCGTCCGACTTCAGCTTAGGTCATGATCTCATGGTTTGTGACTTCAAGCCCCGCGTTGGGCTCTGTGCTGACAGTTTAGAGCCTGGATCCTGCTTCACATTACGTGTCTCCCTCTCTTTCTCTCTGACCCTCCCCTGTTTTCTCTCTCTCTCTCTTTATCTCTCTCCCTTCAAAATAAACAAATGTTAAAAATATTTTTTAAGTATTGGAAATTTGCTAAGAGTAGATTCCACGTGATTTCATCTCAATATGATAACTATGTGAGATGTTCATTAGTTTGACTATAGTAATAATTGTACTATGTATATGTGCATCAAAATATATTCCTTGTCTTGAATATATACAACTTCTATTAAACCCAAAATTCCTGGGGCGCCTGGGTGACTCAGTCGGTTGAGCATCCAACTTCAGCTCAGGTCATGATCTTGCTGCCCATGGTTCAAGCCCCACCTCAGACTCTGTGCTAACAATTCAGAGGCTGGATCCTGCTTTGGATTCTGTGTCTACCTGTCTCTCTCTCTGTTCCTGCCACACTCACACTCTGTGTTTCTCTGTCTCTCAAAATTAAATTTTAAAAAAAGTTTTAAAAAGTTAAAAAAATAAAATTCTTAAAGTATTTAAAAACAAATTACATGGTTGATGAAAGTCTGTTAAAAATAATACATTTTAGTGTTTTAAAAATTTGTAAGCAGCATAGTCATTGAAATAAAAAAAATATACAACCAAGCAGGTATTAATTCATGAAAGGAACATTAATGCATAGTGCATATACTCAATTATTTTCCTAAGAAATAAGGTTGTTTTCTAGGTAAATCTCTCATGGTATAATGTGGAAATTTTTTCCCTGCAGAGATTGTTATTCAGTTTGCCTTATTTCTCATTATTTTAGGGAGCAGTGGTCACCACATATTCTGCCCTGACTCACAAGACCTTTCAACCAGTCCTTGAGCCTGTTGCTGCTTCAAACTTAGCCCAGCGACGGAGCATGAAAAAACGAACATCAACTGGCCTGTAAGATTTCTAGTGTTGCTTAGCCAGACTGGGTGAAGAGAAAATTAAATGTGTGGCTTTTTGCCTAATCTTTTATCAAAGGCATTGTTTTCTGCTACATTACTTGAATATTCTGTTTAAACCTCCATTTTTAGGGAGATGAGATTTTAAAAAAATACACAGGTCCACAGTATTCATACTATATGTTGTTTTGCAGTAATGTCCAAGTGTTTAAATATATAATTGGTGTCTACAGGGTCTTAACAACTTCTCTGCACACTGACTTGTAAAGTTCCTTTCAAATAAAGTTACAGTAATAGTTTTTCTGGTTTCATAAAATAATGATTTGGGGAAACAGTGCCAACAATCAGGATACGAATACAATAGTAAAATGCCAAACAATGCCAATATTTTTTAACATCAGATCCTGAAAAATAGGCTTTTTAAAAAAGAAAAACAAAAAATGTATTGTAGAAGCTTGTTTTCTGCATACAACCAAAGGACTACTTTCATTTGTGCTAATATATGAACTCCTGATATGGTTGGTGCCAAAATTTTTACAGGATTAAATCACAGATTATGTGTTCAGACAGACTTATGTATTATCCAAAAATGTCCTCATCTAGAAATAAGTGTTTCCATAAGACCTCTGTAAATTTTACATCTAATGGGATTATACTACAAATGAAGAAATTTTTTAGCCAAAGGCTTTGTATTGGTCTTGTAATCTACTAAATAGGCTATAATTAAGCCTTTGAAAATAAAGTACAGGTGTTGATACTACCTTTATGATATGTAAGCATACTTTCAATTTACTCAATTGTATTTAATCATATTTGTCCCTTTTATAATGAACTACATTGTTGTTTTTGGACTTTCAAAATTGAATTACAGTGTAGTGTATTAATTTACCTTGAATTCTATGGTAATATAGTTTAAATTTTATTGTAGTGGACTTGTGGGCTTAGCAAACCTGATATAGTATAATGCATTTCAGAAAACTTTAGACAATGCTACAAAGAGATAAACTGACATTTTGAAAAGAAAGTAATATTAGTAATATTAGTGATATACATAAAAATTTAGCACATTTTAATCATACTTATTTTTTTAAAGTCTGGGAAAAATCGGTCTTATTATTAAATTTATGATTTAGAACCATGGGGTAGTATATATTGTTTTCTCTAAATGATGGAATTTTAAAGAATCTTTTTATGTTGTTGAAGAAAATACCATTACTACTACTACTACTACTACTACTACTACTACTACTACTACTATTGACAGAAAGAACTCATGAATGTAAACTGTAAGATATTACAGTCTTGTTTAGTGAATGTAAGTGAAAGACTTGTGTTTGCTAAGTGTACTGTTTGTTGTGTATTTTATTTTGCTTAATCCAGAGATAAAGTTGATTACTAAGCACTGAAGTATCATTTAGACTAGAAGACTTGTAACTTTGGTATTCAATAAAGGAAACTATATGTATTCTCTTTATAATATAAGTGATATATATTCCATGTACAAAGATATGTTTATTTGCTGTGATGTATAAAAGTGTATACCCTTACTTTGAGGTGTATTTTTGTAATAATTGAAATATTTAAAAACATCTAATGCCACATGGAAAACATTATTTAAAAATAGACCTGTATCATATCTTATGGACTTTTTTTTTTTTTACCAATTTGGCCTTTTCTTTCCTCATTTTGCTTTCTTACTAGAAGTATTAGCATGTAACAATTTGTGTTCATATATTCTGACTTACTTTCCTCTTGTCATTATCTTATTTGTGCTGTTACGCCTTCTTTTTATCAGAATTAATATGACAAACTCAGAAGTAAGATTTTGGTGTTGAACTTTTCAGAACAGAGATACTATTTCTATGCATTCTTTTCGAGTAATTGCATTAGGGTATATAAAATTGGAAAGTGAAAAATTATCACAGAATAACTTACAATCTTTCCATAATCAATGGGTTTTAAAAGTAGATTGTCTTAATTTCTCACTGAGGTTGCTCAGAGGGGTAATATTATACAGTCCTTTCATGAAAAGAACACAATCAGAATTAAGCAATGAGCAGCAAGATTCTTCATCACTCAATGAGGATCGACAAATTATAAGACACAGAAGTGCTAGTGGATTCTCCCAATAATTGTACAAAACTTTTATTCTGGGAAATTCAAAGTAGGTTAAAAACAGTAGTAGGGACAACCTTATTATAAGAGAAATCTTCAAACAATACCCTCATTTTGTAGAAGGAACCCAGATAGGGACGCCTACTCATGTCCTTTCTGGCTAGAGCAATAAATGCAGATGTAAATGGGAACTGTTTTGGTGGAGTTCCTATAAATGCTTAACAAGTAAAAATAAATCCTTTCTATAAAATTTTAGGATACTGTTTTACTGTTGTTCTGAAAGGGAGAGGATATTGTATTCTTATTTTCCTCAGAGGGAAAACATCATGTTTGCCCAGAAAGACTAAGAATCTATTGACCTAAGGCACATATTATCATAAATAAACTCAGGAAACCATTGGTTAGATAATTAAAATGGAGTGGTGGTGATTTTGTGGAGGGAAAATTGTTTCAGCCAATTCATGAAAATCAAACATGAGCCGATTATGTTAGACCCAGAAATGCCTAAACATTAATTTTTGTAATTTATTGCTATCAGTAATTAAACATAAAAAACATTTTTATAGAAACTCTAGTTAACCCAAAGGGATTTCTTATGTGTATGCAACCCACAAACGTACGAATAGATGCTTAGTGTTTACAATGTCTCCTCATTGAACATTCATGTTAATATAGAATGTTCATAGAAACATACTATATATATGTGTATGTATATATATATATATATATATATACATATACTATACTCATACTGATCAAATAGTATTTCCATGACAGTATGTGGCCCTTCATATATGAAAAAGTAAAAAAAAAAAAAAAAAAAAAAGCAAAACAAAAAACAAAAATCCCAACCATGCTTAACTTGGCTTTAAGATCAACTAGAAAACTTAGGTTTTAAACTAGACAAAGTATGTCTGTCACATTCTGTTTATTCTCTTTCTCCTGACTTTCCAGTCCCCACATGCTATCCTACTTGAGTACCTCACAGAGCACTCCAGGATTAAAGCTTACTCCAGAAGGATTCTGTGCCCCAAAGTACCTCACAACCTTTCCCCTCCTCAAATCATAGTGTCCATTTTCATAGAGCAGTTATATTCATTTAAACGGGTGAAAGGAGAATGATCTTGATAAATTATTTCTCATTTTTTTCTGTCAATGGCTAATAAATAATAGGCATTTTTGAAGGAACATGTCCATTAATCTAATGAATTTCTACTTGCTGTATTTTTAGACAGTTTAACCAGATGAGAATAATTTTTATCAGTTATTATCAGGGAAGATATTTCTGGACAAGGGATTTACACAGTATGCCCCAGGATCAGATTAGCCCATAAACTATTTACTTTTTGCACTGCTTCATCTTTTCTACTTTTCAATATTATTTTTTTCTTCCAAGAAACTTCTGAGCTTTTTAATTACAATGAACTTCTATGACAGAACGGTGTGGAGGGAGACAGTTGTTAAATGCACATTTACCTGTATTCTTGTTTCTCATAGTATGTAACCTATGACATTAGGAGTCTCCAGCCCATCCCACCGGCCTCTATTCCTGTTGTATTGATAAACAAAAGCATAGGAAGGTTGAATGCAAACTATCACTGGAATCCAAGTCTCTAGATCCTTTGTCTATATTTCAGGACACAGAGATCCTAAAAGTCACTTCTCAATGAGAATGCAAGCCATATTATGGATAGACTGGTCAGCTTCAATTAAACTACTTTAGAACAACTTCTTAGATTTCAAAACTTGTTTAGGTATTTTTAGTGTGTATCTCTGTATAAATGATTGCTGAAATTAACAGAACAGTGTGCTATCTGCCTTCCTTTGCAAGAGTGTAGTGGCATTGATAGTGATTATTCACAAATACATTATACTTATGGATGCACTGTTCCTGGTTTTATTCTTACAAAAGAGTGAAATCCATCATATAATTTGAATAAAATGATAATGCTTGATCACGTATAATTCAGTTTGGCTGAAGGTATTTAAGTCCTAAATTATAGCTATACATTTCTTTGAAATAAAAAGAAAAACACAAAGGACAATATTTTTAGAATGTAGTAATTCAAGTTTATATACATATATTCCACAAATTATGTACCTTTTTATTGACCAGCAAGAAATAGTACTACATGCTTAGAAATAAGTCCATATGTGATACCAAGTTAGGATTTGTTCTATATTCACGTTTCTAAACCTTCAATAGAGCTTCATTGGATGACTGTTTTGCTTTCATACTATTTGTCTAATTATATGAACGAATTTGCTCTTCAAAAGGTATTTATTAAACATCTAATTTTATGCAGAACAGTTCTAGAGGATATACTAAGTGCATTAGTTTCTTAATAAATTGTTATAATGTGACCGATTGGATTTATTTGCTTTTTTCTTTCCTATAAAACTAATATTGCTCAGGTCACATTTGGGTTCTCCAGTTCACTCTATCTGAAACTGATGCCACTAATAGCAAAAAAATGTAAGTTTGGTTTTAAGTATAATAAAATTATTTTGAGGGTGCCTGGGTGGCTGCGTTGGTTAAGCCTCCGACTTCGGCTCAGGTCATGATCTCACAGCTCCTGGGTTTGAGCCCCGCGTCGGGCTCTGTGCGGACAGCCAGCTCAGAGCCTGGAGGCTGTCTTCAGATTCTGTCTTCCTCTCTCTCTGACCCTCCCCTGCTCTCTCTCTCTCTCTCTCTCGGAAATAAGTTTTAAAAAAACATTAAAAAATTAAAAATAAATAAAAATAAAATTATTTTTAACATCACAAAAGAATCCAAACAAAAAAAAATTTTTTAAGTTATACAGAAAACCTTAATTAAATATCCAAATGCCAACATGGTTTGGAAATGAGAATTTATCTTGCATTAAATTCCACAGTACAAAACAGGAGAGAATATGGTTTTTCTGTATTTGATTTAAAAAAATAAACAAAAAGTACAGTTAGTAGACATGAGTTACATTGGGTTTATACAGTGATAACAAAGTTTGTTATAGTTACAATAAGAAAAAATATCTTGCCAGCACTTCCCATACACTTTGGGAATCCTAAACTTATTTTCTGTTATAAAAATTATATTTACTGGCATTTTAGCAAACTTGTCAAGGCTGAAATGG